TGCCGGGGGGAGGGCGGAGTGCCGGCCGGGGCTCAGCTCTCCCCGGCGGCCAGAGTGCCGGGGGGAGGCCAGAGAGCCCAGCCGGGGCTCCACTCTCCCCGGCCAGAGCCGGAGCACCGCGCTGCCCCCCTCCAGGTGCCGCCCCAAGCACAAGCTTGGTGGGCTGGTGCCTTGAGCCGGCCCTGCACGCAGCCCACGTGCTCCTCCCCGACACTCCCATGCGTACACACAGACACCGGCTGTATCGGCATGTCATACAGCCATGCGTTCCTGCCTGGCCACTCCCACCTGTCCCTCCTAGACACCCTGTGCATGCACAGCTCGGGGATCCTCTCCTGTTCTGTTTCGCTCATGCTGTCCCTTGGGTTTTGTCTGCAGCTGTTTCCCAGCCCCGAAAGTGGGCGAGCGCCCGAGGGGGAGGCAGCCAAGGCAGCGTGGGAGAGCAGCCCTAGCACAGAGAGGTAACGTGTGATCATTAACAATAGATGTAGGGACATGCGGGGAGGCCAGAGCCCTCCACTCTCACACACCGGTAGAGCCTAGTCAGCCCAGGGTGTCACTGGGTCCCTCTGCTCCCCAGGGAAACCTGCTGCCTCCAGGAGGACTCCACCAATGGATACTTCATCCTGCGCTCAGACTCGTCCAACTACTTGCACCGAAGCCAGCCACAGGCAGACAGAATCAAGTGTGAGGGGGACAGAGGCCGCTATGCAGAAGGGTAAGGGTGTGTCAAGTGCTCCGTCAGACTAGATCCCTCCTGGGGTCAGGAGGGAGCTCTTGCCTTGATGGGGCTGTGCCCCACACCTCAATGTGCTCTGGGCTTCAGTTTTCCTCTGAAGCACCTGATGTCAGTGGAGGCCAGAGAGGGGATCCTGCACTGGATGGACCACTGGCCTCTGAGGCTCGGGGAGGGGCAGGGACACTGGTGGTAACACATCCCTGCTGCGTTTCCTCCCCAGGAGCGAGCCGGAGCTGTGGAGAAGGGGAAGCACCAGCAAGCCCATGAAAGAGGAACCCGATGGGGCATCAGACAGCGGAGGGCTGACGGAGGAGCTGGAGCAGCTTAGTCTGACGTGAGCTAATGCCATCTCAGACCCGTCACCCACATAGTGCCGAACCCTTCCTCCATGATGTACTGTATACAGAGAAATTCCTGCATGTGCATCTCTGACCACAGGAGACCCTTTGCATTTCAAACACTAGAGAGAGAGAGAGAGATTGATTGATTGATTTTAAAGGGATGCGGATGACAGCCTGAAATCTAGTCAGTTTCAAAAACAGAATTAAAAGCAGTGTCGGGTCCTATCCTGGCCCCTCCATCCTTTTGACAATGGGGCCGTTGTACAGTTGCTTTGTCATATTCCTTAAAATCGTGTTCTCTTGGTGCTGTGTGAGACCCACACCAACTGCTAAGGGAAACAGCACAACTGACTTCACAGCAGGTTGTGTACAGTTCAGAAGAACAGGCGAAAAGAACTTCGTCTAATATTTTTCATATACTGTAAGCTTAGGTGTTACTTCTACAGGAGTAGCAAGACAGGCGTGTGGTCTATTTAAGTACCAGCTGGAAGTAACCCCCGCTTTTGTACCCTTTTGCCGGCTGCTTGGTGTTCCGGGGGGTGGGGTGGGAGATGTGGGAAGTCTATCCATCTGCTCTGCACCTTAGGATGATAAATGTCCTAATCTCATTCTTGGCAGGTCCCCAGCATCCGGGAAAGAGATCCCCCGGCCTTGGGTCTTTCTGCCCCAGCACTACTGGCTTTTCCTGGGGCTGCTTTTCCTGGGGCTCACATGCCTGGTTCTGATGCGGATTCTGGAGCTGCAGAAACAGCAGCCAGCACCACCCCCCCACTCCTAGCATGAAAGAGGAAGAGGACTCAGCCCGAGAGATGCAGCATGCCATCCCAGGCTTACTTTTAAAAATAAAATAATAATAAAAACAGGAGGGGGAAAAGGGGTTTAGATGTTTGGCGAAACACAAACCTCCCTCCTACAAGACCCAACATGGCTGCAGGAGGCTTAGTGATGTGAAAGGAGCTGTGGGTGCCCTGAGGAGCTATGGGGCCATTGCCCTAACTTGTACCCATGCCAGCTGGGCTCAGCAGTACCAGATTGTCCCTTGTCAGCCTAATCTTGGTCTGGTGCAAGGGTCCCTTGTACTAGGATGGGCTAAGGGTGTGTGTGATAGTGGAGGGGTGGGAGGCTGTGGTTGCCTCCACCAACTCCTGTCCTCCTCTCCTTGCCCTTCGTGCATAGCTGCAGGTACTGCTGCCTCCTCCACTTTTGCTTATACACTCTGGGTGAGGGGGATTCTCACTTCCTCTCAAGTGGGGGGGGGGGGGGGAGTAGAGGGAGAAGAGAGACAGGTGCAAGGGAGATGCTTTAACATATGGACTCCTGAACAAACACGTGCTGCCTTTAGTTCTCTTTGGAGTTCTTGTTTGGTTGCTATTAAGATGTTCAGGTGGATTTGCAGAAGGGTCCCATACTTGTAACCAAGCAGCTGCAGGTGTAAGGTTTGTACACATCAGTTGCTTGTGTAGTGGTATGCTCTGCCCTCTCCATCTGTCCAAGAGATCCCCACTAGCATGTTTGACCCCAGGGCTGAGCTGCTGGAAGAACCAATGTTATTTTGGCAGCACCCAGGAAGGTACCGGGTGCATCGCCCAGAGACAGATGCTCTCCCTCTCCTGCCGCTTACAATTGAGTAATCAGTGGGGTGGCCATTAAAGGGGGCATTTTCTCTAGCTGCTTGTGGAGTTAAGGGAAACCCCAGCCAGGAAATTAATGAGATGCCCAGCAGGCTTTGCTTGTCTCAGCCCCAGAGCTAGTGGCTGGCTCAGTACAGCCCAGGCCCCTGCACTCTGCTCTCCCTGCCTTTGATATGGTCATAAAGAGGAGTTCTCAGATCACCTGATTTGCCAGCCTCCCCTCTGTGGTTCCACTCCCCGGTGATTGCCCACACCTGCGGGAGGAGGTTACGCGCCTCCCTGCTGCCGGGCCGGTGGCAGCTCTGGGGCCGAGGAAGGTTTGCCCTGCTGGGGGGGAATGTCTAATGGAGCCCAGCAGAGGATTAGTCGGGGACAGATTTATCCACAAGCTGTAAATCTATTTCCCGGCCGTGCATTCTTTATCTCTGGGAAGCACGTGGCGGGATCTCCCCCGGGGAGGGGCGGGGTCAGATATTCAGAAACACACACAGCCGAGTCCTACACAAATATAACACACCTCCTCCCCTCCCCCCGTAACCTATGCAAATAAGCAGACAAAGGAAGAGTTCCTGCCCGCTCCCCCGGGTCTGTAAACAACCGCCTTAAAGTTTGTGCACCTATAAAAACCCAGAGGCGCTGCTGGCGGCAGGAGTCCGGGGAATAGGCAACCTCCCTGCTGCTTTGCAGCGTCGTTTCTGTAATGAAGCCCTAATGAGCACGGTGTGTGGGGCTCCCCCAGGACTTTGTGATGCTTGTTAAGTTGGGTGTGTGTGTGGGTGTGTGTGTGTGACAGACATAAATGTATCTGTGTTTTACAACCAGATGGTCCAGCTCCCTTCTGTCAAAGCATCTAAGCCCGTGGCTCTCAACCTTTCCAGACAACTGTACCCACTTCAGGAGTCTGATTTGTCTTGTGTACCCCCAAGTTTCACCTCACTTAAAAATAACTTGCTTACAAAACTGGACATAAAAATACAAGTGTCACAACCACTAGTACTGAGAAATGGCTGACTTCCTCATGTTTACCATATAATTATAAAATATATCAATTAGACTATAAATATTGTACTTACATTTCAGTGTATAGTATACAGAGCAGTATAAACAAGTCATTGTCTGTATGATATTGTTGTTTGTGCTGACTTCACTAGTGCTTTTCACGTAGCCTGTTGTAAAACGAGGCAACTATCAAGATGAGTTGATGTCCCCCCCCCGGAAGACCTCTGCGCACCCCGGGAGTACATGTACTGATGATTGAGAATCACTGGTCTAAACTCGTCAAATGAACATCAGCCAGGAGCGGGGAGGGCTGTGGAAGTGTGGGGCAGACAGTGCCGCTCAGTGGACAGAACACCGGGCTGGGAGTCAGTATGGCTGTGTTTTGTGAGCCGTTGGGCACGCGGCTGCCCCTTGCTGTGCCTGTTTCCCCTCCCAGCTTTTGACCCCATTATCCATTTGGAACAGAAGCTCTTTGGGGAAGGGCTGTCTGATCCCAGTTGGAGCCCTCTGGTGCTACTGTAATATAACTAATAATAAAGGAAGGCAGGCTTTAAGGAGGGATGTGAAAGGGGGGTGCGTGGCAGGGGAGAGGTCAGGAATCGGGGTAGGCAGAGCAGGGAGGCCAGAGTAAGAGAGATGAAGGATGGGGCTGGGAGGAGGTAGCTGGGGGATGCTAGCGGGTCTCTGCCCCTAGGAAATACCATGTGCCAAAGCTGTGCTTGCTGATACACCCTTGGCCTCACCCGTGAGGAGGCATGTAGGGTACCACAGTGGATGGTGCCCTGCACCCTGCCCAGAATCACCCCCTTTCTGTGGTCTGCCTGGCTGGTGGGTGCCTTATTACATGTGGCATATGTCTGCCCTCTTCTTAGCTACTGCCTGATCCCGCAACATGCAATAGAGGGGGTGCCTATGGGCCTCAGCCAGGCTGCTCCCAGCCTCCCATTGAGTTCAACAGGGCCAGTCCCGGCCCCACAGCAGGGGGAGAGGGCTTGAGAGCACCACAACAAAGGGGCCTCTATGAGGTCTCAGATGGATAAAACCCCATGGTATAGGCTGGGGAGCACCTCCCCAGTGCAAGGGGGTGTCTGCCCTTGTGTGTGAATGGGGGCAATGGTGCCTGCAGCAGACTCTCCCTGAAGCCAGAGGGGTTGTAACTCCCTGGCTTGACATGGTGTCCATCACAGACAGGGTTGACAGTTTGGTTCAATGACTCTCAGCATCCCCACTCTACACATGGATCCTGCACGCCTACCTGAAGCCCTGAGACTAGAAGGGAGGGGCAGATAAAGGATCAGCCCCAAGCAGCAGCATCCTGGGCACTGGGCTTTGCATGGTCTCAGTTGCCTCCTACAGGCGGGGCACCCTGACAGGGCCGGCTCCAGGCACCAGCTTAACAAGCAGGTGCTTGGGGCGGCCAAGGGAGAGGGGTGGCACCTGCGGCAATTCGGGGGCGGCAGGTCCCTCATTCCCTCTAGGAGCGAAGGACCTGCCGCTGCTGCCGGTCGCGGATTTTTTTTTTTTTGCTTGGGGGGGCAGAAATGCTGGAGCCGGCCCTGCACCCTGTTCCTCCAGGGAACCCTGATCTCTTCACTCTGGGACCCTCACCACTCCCAGGGCCGATGGAGCTGTGGTATCAACACCCCCACAGTGAACACGTGAGGTGGGGGTATCCTTGGAGCCTTGTACAAAGTACAGGCTGATTAACATTGACAGGGGCTAACTTAAAGGGCAGAGGCCTAGAGCAGGGGCCTGGGAGTCAGGACTCCTGGGTTCTATGCCCAGCTCAGGGAGGAAGCGATGGCTAATAGAGCAGTCTGAGTGCCCAGCTGGGACTGGAAGTAGCCAGATATTTTCAAACACAACATTTTTCTCCCCCACCCCAAACAATTGCCTCAAAAAAGACAAAAAAAAAATTAGCAAAAAGCTGTTGTCTTTGTGTGTGTGTGTGGGGGGGGGGAAGGATTGTGACATTGTTTACAACATTTTGCGACCAAACCATTAGAGAAATAGTTCTCAAATTTGTGTGTGTGTTGAAAGCTGAGTTTTCTGCAAGCCAAGAATAGGTTCAGTAACAATCCTGTTGTTTTTTAAATGGGAGTTGGTCCATTCGGAACGCTGCAAAGCAGACTCGCTTTTGAAAAACGTTGGCAACTCTTCAAGAACTTTTTCCAGCCAGCTCTAGCCCCACACCCTGGGTTTCACCCCCTGCTCTGGGCAGGGAGTGAGGTCTCATAGTCCAGAAGGGGACAGGGATTCAGGACGCCTGGGTTCTACGCCCAGCTCTGGGCGGGGAGTGACAGCCCCTCGGAGGCAGGCTGGGCTAATCCAGCAGTTTTTCCATCCTGCACCGCAAGGATGCTCCTGGCAGTGGCTTCGCTGTCTCAGCTCCTCCCCATCTCCCTGGGGGCCGGTCTTTGAGCAGCTGGCTTCTCCCTCCCCCAGCCCTGGGGGCTCTCAGCAGGAGCAGCTCGCTGCCGCATCGAGCAGGAAACCGAGAGCGGTTTTAATTTCAATTTCCTGCTTTCTCATCGGGACTTCTGCACATTCACAGTCAGCCTTCTGCTACGCAGCCCTGCTCTGCCCAGCCTCGGCAGGCAGGAAGCGAGCTCAGGGCTGACCCTTGGGGATCTCAAGCCAGCCCATGCGCCTCCTCTGCCCCACAAGCAGGCCAGTGGCAGACCGGGGCTTCCAGCTCTCCAGCCGCCTCTGCACGTAAGTCGACTTTGTGGTTTGGGCTTTAAGGTGGGGCCTGCCCCTGCCGGCGTCTCCCCCGGCCACCTGCAGTGGGGAGAGATCCTGGCAGCTCCTGGCACTGCAGGAGCCTCGTGGGTGCCTCTGGGTGGCTGCAGGGTCGGGGTGGGGGGCGGTGTGGCTACCGGCCAAGTGATACTGAGAAGAGCTGGAGCAGGGTTCTCCGAAACCATTTGTACGATGGGGGAGGGGAGGGGCTGAGAGCCCTTGAACTAAACTGTATATGATGGAAACCATGTCAAGCTGAGGGGAGGGGGGGGGGGGCGGCAGCACCCCTCGTTCCACCACCTCTGCAGCTCTGTGCTGAGTGCCTGCAGCCCCCTGGGGAGTCCTGGGCCTGATTCTGCCCTGCACCTTGCGGGGCCGTGCGAAAGGCTAGCGGGTCTGCCATGCAGCAGCGGTCAAGGCCAGTGGCGCTCCTAGCGCTGACTGTGCTTGGAGGAGCCAGGAGCGCGCCATGCCCCCAGGTCCGGATCTGGCCCCGCGTTTGTTGCTGGAATGAAGTTGAAGTCCGGCACTTCCCTAGACGTGCCGCTGCCTGGAGGAATGCGTCAAGGTGGCTCAGGGACTCCTCGCCGTCCCCCCGGGGACATGGCCTAGCAGCCCAGGCAGTGACTGATGCGGCTTTTGAGGCTGAGGCTGCCAGCCCAGGGCCTTTAAGGGGCACTCGGCCCAGCTCCTCGCAGCAGGGAGGAGTGAGATGCGGGGAGGCCAAGAGCTCCCAAAGACACTGGGCTTGGACGAGGGGGAGCCTTTCCTGTCACCTCACTTGAACCCCCAGCTCGGCCTGTTTCTCCTGCTCTGGAGAATGACTGGCTGGTTTGTCGGACTCCCTAGCACCCCGCCCGGCTGGGGCCAGGAACCCCAGGGCGTGTGTCAGGGCACGGACACACTCTGCCGTCACCCCCTCGTGGGGACGGGCGGGTGGGGGAGGAACATCAGGGCCGGGCTGATGAATCTTTCAGAAAGCCTTGTGCAGCTGTTCATCTGTCTGGACTCTGCCCACGGCCTGACACCCACATGATCTGGGGGAGCCGTTTGGCTCTGCCTGTCTTTGGAGGGTAACCCTGTGGGGTCCCGGCTTCCACAGGGCAGCGCTCCCTTCCCTGTGCCAGGAGCCAGCCTTGTTCTCCTGTGGGGCTTGGGGGAGAATAGCCTCAAGGTCCCCCCCACACTCTGTGCGCCCCCCTCTGTGAGGTGGATCCTCCCTCCCTCAGGGAACTAAACCTTCCCTTGGTGGAGCACGACCCACAGCATCACCCTTCACTTCTCCCCCTGCACGGGCCGTGACCCCCTCTCCACTCCTTTTCCATGCTGTGTGTGTGGGAGGGGTTCTTGCCAGTCTCTCCCCCCCCCCACTTGCCTCCCCCCTTCTGCCAGCTGAAGGGGCATTTGCCCCCCTTCTCACGTGCTGCCTGTGCCTGCTCCCATAGGAAAAGGGATATTCTCCTTGTGGAGGGACGAGCCCCTGGCCTCCACTTCTCCTCAGGATTGAAGAGTCGTTATCCCCTCTCCCACAAATGCACCCAGTGCCGAGGTGGGGGGGCTATTCCTCCCCTCCCTTCCCCCCTCCCCTTGGAGCTCCATTCCAGGGGCCTGTTGGCTTTAATGAGCTGAGGGTGCAGGTGCGGGCTGGGGCTCGGGGCTCCTGTCTCTCTCCATCCCAGGTGAGGAGTTGTGTTCGCCACTTTCACTTTGCCCAGCCCCAGAGGCTGAGGGCTGGACTTTGCCCTGCTGCCCTGATAATGCCGCCCCCTTCCTGTCACGTAGCTGGGGTGGGGTCACCAGGGGCCAGGCAGGCTGTCCCCGGCATCACGCGCACCCGGTGATTCAGGGCCCTGACCCGCTGGGATTGCTGTGGGCCAGGTTAACGATTCCCCTGTTGCCATAAAGCGCGTCTCCACCTGCTACTTTGTTTCACCAGCTAGAGCGAGCCCTGGGAGGGCGCGCCTGCCGTGGCACCAACCGAGAAATGGGTCAGAAGGCCGAGCCCGCTCCTGCCTGGGTCTGACAGCGAGGGATGGAGGGACAGGTTCTGGGAAAGGGGGCTACGGGACTGGCCTTTGCTGCACATCGCATTCCTCTGGGAGCTGGTGGGAGTGGGGGGAAGGGAAATAGGTGCGAGAAAGCACCGGTTTTGTGGCATTCAAGCTGCTGCAGCCGCCCGGAGCTGCTGAGAGTATGCAGGTATGAAATATTAATGTGGGCTGCAAGCCACAGGGTATCTCCAGCTCCCAGCAGCCTGGAGGCGGCTCATGAGGTAGACAGGCCCCCGCGCTTTTACATCCATGTGACGAAGAGTGTCTTATGCTTAAAATGCCATTGGGAACAATCGACC